AGGGGGTTGTCTAAGGAAGTGCTGAAATGGCACCCACTGAGTTCATAGAACAGATTTAAACTCAGATCTTCCAGTTTAACATGCTGTCTGCCATAGCTATAGGCCAATTCAGGAGATACTTACTGCATCATCATCATCATCATCATCATCATCATCAATCTATGAACTACAGGGCTGGAAAATGGATGATCAAGTCCACCTTCTATCAAGGAGGCACAATGGAATTGAACTCCCAACCTATGGCTCCATAGCCATATGCCTAAACCACTGTGCTATCCAGCAGTTGTGACCCACTAAAATCCAAATAGTAATTCACAACTCAAGAAAGCCTAGTGGGGATTTGGTGAGTCAATTTCTCTATAGGCTCCTCTGATTCAACAACTGTGATTCTACTAATGGATTTCAGTTGTGATTTTACTACTGGATCTCAGTCCCTAAAATAAATATATACCTACTTGTTGTGCAACAGTACATGGTTGGTGAGCTATAATTCTGTGGTATTGTCCATGTTTGTGGAAAAGTTATGCATATTTCAAAACTAATTATGATTCACAGAGCATAGCAGCCTTCCCTGGGCTGTATAAACAATGGTGGCTGCACAAAGGAACAAAGTTTGGAAGAGCCCATCCAGATCTGTTTACAACATGAATTCACCTTTGCACAGAGAAGAATATCCAGAAAGTCCAAACGCCTCTTCTTCAAGATCTTTTCAAGCTCTTGCTCATTCTTGAGAGACTTCTTTCTTTCTTGTATTACATTATCTGCATTAGATTTGAGTAGCAAGTAAAGGTGAACATAAATAGTTAAGCAAAGTTATCTATACTGTCAGTTTGCTGTCCTCTGAAGATGCCGGCCACAGAGACTGGTGAAACGTTAGGAAAAACCACCTTCAGAACACGGCCAAGAAGCCCGAAAAACCCACAACAACCATTATCTATACTGCATTGTGTTTACAATGAAGGAATGATGGCTTAGAATGGTCAATAACCTAGGGACACAGTGGCTTGTGACCCGAAGATTTTTGGGGGGGCAAGGTCTCTCCTCAGACCACAAGCTGCCACTGCTCAAATATTTGTGGAATTTTTGCAACCTTCATATGCTGTCTAAGAGGTTTTGTTTAGGAGGGACTTTTCTGGGCTGGGATGACTTTCAGTTAATTCAGAGCCACCAATTTGTTCCCCCTTTGCCTCAGATTTTGAAGGGAACTATACCTCTCCACTCAAGAATTATATTCCTGCTCTTTTTCAGTCAGACTGTGGTCTGACTGACTGTGGTCAGTTAACATTACTTAGCAACATAGCCAGTAAGCAAACTTCTACAATATATCATTTTTGATCTATTTAAAACTGTGAGTAAATGGAAGTTTTTATTCTTTCTCTTACCTGCCTCTGAGTGAATTAGTGAGACAATAAGTTCTCAGATGATGAGAACAAAAGTAAAGAGGGTGGTCTACTTTGGGAGGACTTAAATCTAATTCTGCTCTGTAGGTCCCTGAACTTTTTACTCTGTGTAGCTTAAGGTTTTTAGCCTATTAATTTCACACTCTGCCAAGAGAATTAAGCAGTTTGAAGACCAGCTTCTTGAGAGAAGAAAAGTTGTCATCTTGGCAGTGGTTAAAACTGCACATGAGCGAAGGCTTAGAATAACAGGATGGGGACATTTCAGGATTTATGAAAGCTAAAAAAAACTAGATACAGTCCATTTGTACGGAATTTGAAGGAGAAGTGTTAGCAGATACTGTATTTTTCTGTGTATAAAATGACACTTTTTCCTTAAATAATTTGAAAAAAAATTGAGGGTAGTTTTATACGTGGAAGACAGCTCTTTACTGCTGCCTTTTGTGAAGGCACAGGGCTTAGCAAAAAGGAAGGGGGCGTTTCTCCTTTACTAGATACAGTCCATTTGTACGGAATTTGAAGGAGAAGTGTTAGCAGATACTGTATTTTTCTGTGTATAAAATGACACTTTTTCCTTAAATAATTTGAAAAAAAATTGAGGGTAGTTTTATACGTGGAAGACAGCTCTTTACTGCTGCCTTTTGTGAAGGCACAGGGCTTAGCAAAAAGGAAGGGGGCGTTTCTCTTTTCTTTTTGCTAAGCTCTGTGCCTTTTCAAAAATCAAGAGTGTGCAGGGCTTAGCAAAAAGGAAGGGGGCGTTTCTCTTTTCTTTTTGCTAAGCTCTGTGCCTTCTTGACAGCTGCTTTCCTTGCCTTTTGCCAAGGCACAGGGCTTAGCAAAAAGAGAGCCCTTTGATCCCTACTTTTTCTAATTTGGGGTTAGAAAAGGGGGGTTCATCTTAGACCTTGGGTCATCTTATAAACTGAAACATACGGTGATATACTAAGGAAAAAGAACCTAAAGGGAAAGCAGAAGAACATTTTTAAGGGCAGAGAAACCACCAGATTTAAACCAAAACAAAGGGTTTATCAGGATATGACTTAAATTAGACATGCACAATATTTCAGAGTACAAGAGGCTGAAAAATGAGTCTTAGGGAGGCTGATCAGACAACAAGCTAAATGGAAAGGGTCAGAAGAATCAGTGGCCTAAGAAGTATGGAATAGAAGCAGATGGTAGTGTCTGAAAGAGAGAGAGCAGTTGGACTTCAACTTTGAGAAGCCCTAATCAGTGTGGTTGACAGTCAAGATTCTAAGCCGTGGTAGTCCCAAATTCAATGACTGTCTGGAAAATTGCTGTCAGCTATTGTTTCCAATGCTTGACTAGATGGAGCTTTGTATACATACTGCAGATTCCTATGAAGACTCACTCTCTACAGGAAGACTTTTTACTATTTCCTGTATTTTGTACTGTCTATAGTTTGAATTTTCCTTGAGGTGAGAATTTGAGTGTTAGTGTAGTAACACAGAGCTACATTTCGATAAATAACCTTCTGAATAAATCATTGTTTGTGTATTTATATAAGATGGCTTCATGAAAAGTAACAAATAAGCACAAGTATGTCACATTATATGATTGACAAACTACAAATGGCTTAAATCCAGTAGTAAGTTACAACTAGAAATCCCTGCTGATTCAGTGTGCCTACTCTAGTTCTGACTTACTATTGGATTTCAGCCACTGAACGAAGTCAATATTTTAACTCTTAGTTATCAATTCCACAATGCATATATCTAAACAAAAACTGAAATTGGCTTAAATTTAAGCATTCCCATATTCTTCCCCTTCTCCTTGCCAACTTTACTTCACATCTTTTGATCCTCCTGAATATTTTTATAACTCAGTATATAAATATTATGTAGACTATAGAAATATTTGCTGAACGCCAGGCAAACATCTTGAACCAGAAGAGTGAGCCAGAAAAACCAATATGTTTGCATACTCGTGTGAAGATGGGCTGCTTTGCAAGCTTTGTGAAAACGGTACCCTTGGGGACTGAACGAGTAAAGGAGATCATTGTGGACCAAAGGTGTTTTCAGTCTCTCAATGGCCAGAAAGGAGAGGTTGTAGACTGTGTTAATGTAGGAATTATTCCTGCAGATACAAAGAAAGTTGAAATGGTTAAGATTCAGGGAAGAATCATACTGGTGAAGACACTAACAGACTACAGATGTATTCGAAATTAACCCTTAAAGCATTGCACGGGTAGAAAGACAGCTTCTAAAAATTCCTCCCATGTAGTCCTTCCCCACAATGGAGTGCAAGAAGATGCAAACATAAATCACAGAAGTTGCTGGGATCTTGTGCTTACATCTCATTCTAGTGTCAATCCTTGGTGTGAGGAAGAAGAGCTAAATCTACCTGTGGGTTTGCAGTGGCACATGTAGAAGACCATGGTCAACTCAAGGAGTTAGGTTTGGTATGCCACATTTTTCTCACTCTTGTGCCTGACTGCCTTTGCAGGTCAGGTCTGAATGTTTCTTTTTTTTTGTTCATGTATCCATAAGGATACTTCCAGTTCTGCAGTTCTAAGTTTATTTTAAGATTAGTACCATTTCTCTGTTATTTCTTTGATGAGACATATATCATGCATCTGCTGTGGCAGGTTTATTGTGTTTTCAAACCTTTAGTTTAGGTCTAATCTATGCACCTAGCAGAGGGAGGATAGCAAGTCTTCAATGGACTGCCTTGTCACATGCTGTTTGTCAGTTGGCCTTGAATATATAGTTCTTAGGTTGAAAGGCAGGAAATGAGTCACATGTCCTATAAAAGTCCTAAAAGATGTCCTTCCAACTGAACCTCAGCTCATGCTGAACTGTAGAGCAGAACTGTGCAACTGGCCAGATCCAAGGGGCCTGCCTACTGTCATTCTTGGAGTTCTCAAGAGGAAAATAAAAGGGGGGGTATGCTGGTTATATACTGCTCCATAGCACTGAAAACTCTTTCTGGGTGGTTTAAAATTTAATTATGCAGGCTACACGTTGTTTCCACCCCCCCAATTTAATTATGCAGGCTGCACATTGTTTCCACCCCCAAGAGAGCTGGATAATTTACTAACCTCAGAAGGATGGAAAGCTGAATGAACCTTGAGCCGGCTACCTGGGATTGAAGCCAGGTCACGAGCACAGTTTTAGCTGCAGTACTGCAGTTTAACCATTACACCATGAGATAGCAGTATAGGACTGTAAGCATTCTTTTTCTGTATTATTCCCTTCCTGTCTTGTTGGAGGGATTTAATAAGTTTGCTTTCCTTCTACACTTGTGTCCTCATAGCCTCCGAATCTAAAAAGCCCTTGCCTCTATAACAAGACAGACTCCCACTTCATCTGAAGAAAGAATGTTCATACTGACCGGTCTACTTGACAATTGCTTTGGTAGCTGAAGGAACATTTCATGATGGTATCGAGGGACATCAAACTGACATACTGAAACATCTCTACTGATGCTGTGGTGTCTTTGGAGATGACATTTTCCAATATATCCTAATATTTCAGGAAAGGAACAGGAACGAGAATAAGGAAAGGAAAGTCTCCAGCCAGACTGGGTTGTTTATACGAGGTTGCATTTTGCTGGGGTAGTTGAAAGAACACTTACACCAAATTACTAATAAGTTTTGGTTAAAACTCATATGTGTCAGCAAAAATAAAAGATGAAATGAAAGTTCAGATTCAGTTTTCATGATTTTTAGATCATCATATGTGTCAGCATAGTGTTTATACAAGAGTGGGTGATACCTTTATGCAGTATTTTAAGCAGAACACTATATTAGACCACTAAAAAGAAATCAAACACATTGCAAGCTTTCATGGAGGAATTCCACTTCTTCAGGCTTAGCAGCACTACTTTATAGATAGTGCAGAAAAATTGTAGATAAAGGTCCAAAACTAATGTTAAATATCTGTGCCATTTCTGCCTGGAGAGTTGATCTCAGACTCAGGTTTTAGTTTTAAAAGTCGTCTGAGGTGTGTGTGTGCAATCTCATGCACCATTCCTGCAACATGGCTGGAATTTTTACGCCCTGTTGTTAAGGCCAGCAGGATTGTCAATTATTCTCTGATTGACACTGCTTCCAGGCACTCGCATTCCCTGCTTCAAAATAGAAAAGTTTCTTGCTGGCTGTGGGTCTGGGTCTGGGGACAAAGCAAGATAGGCAATTATGTTAAGAGCAGGGTGTAAAAACTCCAACCACACTGAACCAAGCAATAACAGAGTAATTATTTTTAGTGATGCAATAAAAAGTATCACCCACTCTCGCATTTGTGTAATCTTAGATATCACACAGCCTTTTCCCTGTTCCTTCTGAAGCATAGTGTTTTTATTATTCAGTTATGTTTATATTCACAAGTATTGGATACTCACAGCATACAGTTCTAGCTAATATGATAATGTCAATCCCTACAAAGCAATGCAATGATAACCAAGGTATACATAATAGAATGAAACACGTATGATTGATTGAACTTGTGAAAATGGCCATTTCATTAAGGTAAGAATAATTTCCAATGAGGTTTGAGAAGAAATAGTTTCATATAATATATATCTTTCATGCCAGATATACTTACTGGCTATAATCTGAAGGACAGTGCAACCATTTTTGCACTCTCAAGGACAAATTTATTTTATTTATTCATTCATTTATTAAATTTATACCCCACCCATCTAGACCGAAGTCTACTCTGGGCGGCTAACAATAAAAATAGAATAAAAACAATATAATATAATAAAAACAATAGTAATATAGTTCAAGATGGGAAAAATATTCAAGTGATGACAGGAGGGAAAACCTGCCTAAAGAGGCAGGTCTTAAGTTGGCTCTTAAAAACACCCAGAGAAGGAGCCAGACAGATCTCTGAGGGGAGACTGCTCCAAAGGCGAGGGGCCACTGCCAAGAAGGCCCGGTTTCTTGTTCTTTCTCTCCGGGCCTCCCTCGGCGTTAGGCCCCCTCAGCCACCCTTCCTGGCTAGAACGAGTGATTCAGGTAGATCTAGGTATGAGGAGGCGTTCCACTACATATCGAGGTCATAAACCATTTAGGGCTTCATATGTCATCATTAACATTTTGAAATCAATGCGGAAATGAATGGGCAGCCAATGCAAGGCAGCCAGAGTAGGGGAAATATGCTGTTATTTTCTTATCCCCTTGAGAAATCTGGCCGCCGCATTCTGCACCATTTGAAGCTTCCACATCAATCTCAAAGGTAGCCCCACGTAAAGCGCATTACAGTGGTCTAATCTTGAGACTACAAGTGCATGGACCAGAGTGGTGAGTGCCACAACATCAAGATAGGGATGCAGCTGGGCAATCCGCCACAGATGGAAATAGGCAGACTGACTCCGCCTGGATTTCCACCTGGATTTCCATGGTGAGAGCCAGATGGACCCCCAAGCTGCAAACCTCACTCTTCGCGGTGAGAGTCACTCCCAAAAAGAGAGGGAGTTTCCCAAAGCATCGATGGAGTGCCATCCACCCTCAGGACCCCTGTCTTGTCCGGGTTCAGCCTCAGTCCATTCTCCTGCATCCATTGCAGTACAGCCTTCAGGCAGTGCTGAAGGGATGGAGCAGCATACACTGTGGTTGGAGAAAAGGAAATGTAGACCTGGGAGTCATCAGCATTCTGGTGGCACGAAGCCCCACACCCCCTGATGACCCCACCCAGCAGCCTCACGTAGATATTAAACAGCATTGGGGAGATAATCGAGCCCTGTGGAACCCCACAATTGAGACTCCATGGGACCGAAACACACACCCCAAGCTGTACTCTCTGAGGATGGTCCTCCAGGAAGGATCGGAGCCAGGCAAGCGCCTGACCACCAATTCCCAGCTCAGAGAGCCTCCCCAGGAGGATACCATGACTGATGGTATCAAAGGCGGCTGAAATATTGAGGAGGACCAAAAAAGACATTTTGCCCCTGTTAGGCTCCCTCAGCAGGTCATCAAACAGAGTGTGCTTTCAACCTGGCTTCACCACCATAGAGTGCCGAATAACCTCCAAGAGGGTTTCTATAAACAATGGCTACTCCCCACCCCACACCTCCAGTCTACGCTGGTGCTGGACTGCATAACTGGGAGGACAGGCAAGAGTCAAGGGAACACCCTCTTCCCCGCCCATCCAAGTTTCAGTTATGTGTGCCAGTTCTGCATCCTCCTCCAGAAGAAGGTCTTGGATAATCTGGGATTTGTTGGATACAGACCTGGCATTCAACAGCACCAGATTCAGAGTGGAGGGACGGCTGAAAAGACACGGTATTTAGAGAAATTCACTTCTAAAAGGAGGAAAACTGACTTCATATGAGAAGCAATGGGGTGCTTTGATTTGACTTGTTTTACCAGCATCTGCTTGACTGACTCTACCATAGCCGTCACATAAGGCTTCAGAACATCATAATGGAACCCTGGGGTGAGGAGCTTCCGGTGCTGCTGCCACTTTGGCCCACCCAGAATTAGCAACCCTAGTCCTAATAGGGGGGAAGGGGAGAAGAGACAAACAAGACAAAAGTGTTTCATTATTCATTTGCTTGTAAACATAATAAACATTTTTATACCTTCTTTAAAAGAGCACAACACCATCTCAGGTCAGCTTATCCTTATGCATTAAAAAACCAAGGTATATATATTCTATTTTGTATAATAAAAGAGTTACATTTGTGAATACCACTAAATGAAAAACATCCAGGGCAGAAAATGCCAAATTAATACCACCTCAGAAACTATTAAGTGAAAACTTATCTGAAGAGAAGGTTTATTTTATATATAAACCTAAAATATACATACATTTTATATATAGGTTTAAAAAAGGTTTATATATATAAACCGTCTCTTCAGATATGTTTTCACTTAATAGTTTCTGAGGTGATATTAATTTGGCATTTTCTGCCCTGGGTGTTTGTCATCTCCATATATATATCATTTCTATCAAAGGGAGAAACTGATTTTTTTTTTTAGGCCTTAAGAAAACATCTGATGTTTTCTTAAGGCCTAAAATAATCAGTTTCTCCCTTTGATAGAAATGGTATAAGCACACTTTCTACTAAGGCCAGGAGCTCATCTTGAGAATAGAAATTTTATTGGTTCAGAGATTAGTAATACACAACCCAAGAGAATCCATCTCTGTGATTTACCTAAATATTTGCTTAAAATATGAGTCTGAAGAATACATATTTCCCATTATTTCTAAAAGGGTGTTTTTAAATATATTTCTCTGATGTAAATATTGTTCTCATAACATATTGTAACAATAAAACACATTCTCAAAATATTCAGAATATTCACCATGTTCAGATTCAGTACAATACATGTACTTATCTGATTCCCTTGTAGCATTGTCCAAAGATGCTAGACAAACAAATAAAGGTAGCATGTAAACCCTCCAGCAGACACTATTTTAGTAAACACAAACAAATAAAGGTAGCATGTAAACCCTATTTTAGTAAATAGACAAGCAACTTCCTGTAGATTACAGCAGCTTTTGGGTTTTGAAAAACTGTCATACATGGAAATAACTGACACAAATACAATTTGTATCATTAAAGAAACATAACACATACCGATCCATGGAACGAGGAATTTGTATACTGCAAGAGATTTGGGATCTGAATGAATGAGAAAGACATGTTAGCATGAAATGCTATGAAAAGCTTGTTAAAACAGAAGCTTATTTCCTCAATTGCGCTTTCCTAAAATGATCTGTGAAATCATTTCTGTAGGAGACAAGAGTGAAAGAAGCAGTTTAACAGCAGATTGATTGTAAATGCCAGGGGGGCATATCAGAGGAAGAGGGGCTTCGAGCACGAATCAAACCAGGCCCAGATAGAGGGGCAGTGTGGACACAGACACCACAACAACCCAGGGTCTTTGTGTGGTCACTTAAACAGAATATAGTCACAAAAGAGACTGTGAATCAAGCCAAGGCCCAGTTGAATAGCTTTGATTCAGCTTGCCAATGTGGTCATACTCTTAGGGAGGTAAAATGAGAATTAGTCTGTGAAAAGTGAATAACAAAAGAAAAGAGCGGAAAGAATTGCTCCCTCCCTTGCTTCTAATCCTTAAGTATTCATCTGAAACTCTTGCAAATAGTTCTTTGCGTAACAGCCACAAACCCCTATTTAATTTTGCTCTGAACAGTATTTTTAAATTTTTAAAAATTTTATTACCCAATTTCCCATACAATTACATATTCAGCATTTTATTTATCGGTATATACAGTAGTACCTCAGTTTCTGAAATTAATGCATTCTATGGGACGTTACGTAAAGTGAAAAATTTGTAAACCAAAACACGGATTGTCGTAGGAACAGGGGCAGCGCTACAAACCTCCAGGCACAATGCATTCTGGGGAAATTTTTTCACAAACTGAAAACCCCCCAAAAAACACCCCTCCATAAACTGAGGCATTACAGGCACAATGCATCCTGGGGAAATTTTTTCGCAAACCGAAAAAAACTAAAACAAACCTCCATAAACTGAGGCATTATTTTCAACGGATTTCTGTTTGTAAACTGAAAATTACATTAAACCGAGGCATTCGTAAACTGAGGTGCTATTGTATAGTACAATCCATTCCTATAATCCCTTAAAACAATGATTCTATCAAGCTCAAAAGACAACAGACCAATATCTGTCAACTTCTCAAAATGTCATCCATTCTATTTAATTGGAACTTTAAAAATAACAAATATTGCCGTGTTTTAATGAAACTATCTTCTTTTATATTTCTTCTAAGCGATCTAAGACGAGTATCCAGATATATTTTCCATATTCGGACAATTTTAATTCTTGCAGCCCCTAGAAGACTCTTTATCTACTATAGAATAATAGTAAAGTTTCACTAGGAACTATCTCTTGCTAAGTTCACTCACACACACACACACACACACACACACACACACACACATTACTGTTACCATTTGATGGGAAGGACATAAGAAACCAATGTCTTACCACCTCTACTGTACACCATCTTCGCATATTCAGGATGATTGATGACTAACACACCCAAGAATGGCCCATACCATAATGAATGACAATGTGGGTATATCTTTGTCCACTCTACTAGATTCTGGAATTCTTCTTCTGGTTTCACCTGTGTTATTTGTTGAAATATTTAATCTGCATTATTTGTATCTGCGTAGTCAGTCAATAATGAAATTAATTTTGGATTATGAGAGAGATGAAGCAGTGGTTAATGAGGCTATGTAAAAAAAAAAGTTTAACTACCGAATGAGACACTCCTCTGCACAGGTCAACACTATCTTTCATAATCTGTTTGATTTCTCTGTAGTCTGCATGGGCTTCGTTTTACAAGTTTTTGTGCCTCTTGCATGGAGAAGAAAACCTGCAGGTTACACATGAACAAGCCCTAGATTTCTGAATTCAAAAGGAGGGGAGGCAAAACCCATAAAATGTTAACATGAGAAGTAGGAAACAGGAGGGTTTTTTTTTTTTTTTGGCTAAGAATAAAATAAAAAAAAATATTTTGCATGCTATCAATACTGTTTCATTACATTTTCAGTGCTGATTGAAAAATCTCCTTTCACCTTTGTATTCCAGTGTAGACTTCTTGAAGTTGCTCACCAGTGGAAGACAACTTCAGTGAGCCTAGGGACAGTCCAAATAATGTGTCACATTGTGCCAAAAATGCACCCTGAACCCTACTAAAAACAAAACCAAACCAGAAGTGTCTTCTTTTTAGTATCATTGCTGGAGTGTCCTTTTAATGCAAAAGGAGGAATAAAAATATTTTGAATAAATAAATAAATAAATAAATAAATAAATAAATAAATAAATAAATAAATAAATAAATAAATAAATAAATAAATAAATTCATTTGAGTCCTTTTAAGGTGAAAGGAGAGATAAAAAAAATTTAAATACATAAATACATTCATTTGAACTATACATTAGTCTGGTTCAATAATACAGAGAGCTAATTATGACTTTTTTTTCCTCACAAATTCATTCTTCTTGCAATTCTTATTACACGTGGCCAACATGCAACAGACTAGACACTCATGGAAATGTTTTAAAAATCTTTTAAGCTCTTATGCTAACTGAAACGGTAGTTGATTTTCATCAAATGACCAAACAATCTGCTTTGTACTTGCAGTTATAGACTTTTTTTTTTCAACCAAAGCAGGCTTAGCTCTTAGATGGCATGACACACTTATTATGACCCTGACAGTAAAAGAACCACATACAGAACAGCAATACTTTGCTTTCTTTACAAAATGAAGACAGACAGATGCACCCACCCATGGCTCTGTGCATTACATCTATTGTGTACACATTCAAGCACCAGACACAGAGTAAAACTTTAAAGTCATCTTACCATTTCGAGATGGCCATACAGCCAGTGGGCAGGAGGTCCTGGAAAAGAGCTGTAAGCTTTGACTAGCTGCTGGTTCTTCCGATACAGCTGTATGACTTTCAGCACCACATAGGTAAGGCTGGCAAAAACTACCACATGGAGAATCAGAGAGAAATCCTGAGGCAACCAAGAGGTTTGCTTGATGAATTTTGATACAGATTCCATACTTTCACTTTGTATTTCCAGCTAGTTGTCTTCTCTTTGTGGCTGGACTAATAACAGCTAGGCACTGACTCTTAGAAGCTTGTCTTTTGTGTTTTGCCAAGAGAATCGGAGTGATTTCTGTTTCAAAACAAAGTATCTCTTTCTCCCAAGAAATGCACAACAGGAAACTTCACTTCAGGGAGTGTAACATTACCAAAGGGGAATGAACACACTCTCAGCCAATAAAATCTTCCCTTACAACTGCTGTGTTTCTTTGGCTACAGTCAGTGCAGCTGCTGTTATGTCCTGCAGCAAGCTTGAACGGAAACACCCATTTCCCTTTCATCCAGTAAAACACAACCGTCCGTTATGTTGGAAAATGACAACAGTTCAGGAACATGTGAGAGTATATAATTCCCTAAACTGAGATTTGAAATGCAGTCAGAGAGAGGCTGTGATTTTGATTGGAGCTATGAATGGTCATTTTTGCACTCAAAAATCACTCCTGCACTGGGTTGTTGTGTTTCTTTTTTCAGGAAAAGAAAAAGCATAGGAACTCAGCAGTGCTATCTGTTGAGCATTGATTACCAAGTGCGGGTGCCACATTTATGCTGTTGATTGAACATGATTTATTAATGGAGTTGTATAACTTGCTTGGAAGATTCTTAGCATCTCATGATTCAGAGGGACAACCCCCCCTTTTTTTGCTACCTGATTAAAACAAAAAGGGTCCTATCCTGTTTTGTGCACAGAAACCAAGCCAGCCATATTTCAACACAGGTGAGGGGACAGCATGCTCCACTGCAAATGAATACAACTTAAAGCACAGGGCATTCTGTATGGTATTGTCATCTAGTTGTTTAGTCGTGTCCGACTCTTTGTGACCCCAGGGACCAGAGCACGCCAGGCCTTCCTGCCTTCCACTGCCTCCCGGAGTTGGGTCAAATTCATGTTGGTTGCTTCGATGACACTGTGTAACCATCTCATCCTCTGTTGTCCCCTTCTCCTCTTGCCTTCACACTTTCCCAACATCAAGGTCTCTTCCAAGGAGTCTTCTCTTCTCATGAGATGGCCAAAGTATTGGTATACTCTACCACCAACTATCCCTAGGCAGCCATTTCATCTTCACTAATGCTAGGACTGGCTTTGTGCAGATTTTCTGTTGACTAAAGAAAATGGGGAAGAAGGAAATCTGATATCTGGTTTGTACTTAAGGGATCGTGCACAGTTTTGCTGCACTCTGCTGTAAAGCATAGTTTCTTCTCCATGTGGCAGAAATGTGGGAGTACATGTACATTTGATTAGAAAAATGGTATATGAAGAACTGTTGAGGTAACTTTTCTCCTGCCACTGATGCAATAAAACAGGCTTCAACCCCTCTACTTCTGCATTTCAGAATACATGGGGTTGCAGCCTAAACAGTGAAAGCAAAGAGACAGAAAGAAAAGACTGATGAGCAGTTATTTCTTTTTGAGTTTTATTTTCTGTGAACGTCACTTAAAATTGATGTTATACCACATAAATGCCAAGTCATCATGCTACATAATTATTAAATGCCATGTTGTAAACTCCCGTGCAAAGGTCATATTTCATTTGCCTTGTGTTTACAGATAGTGGCTTTGTGTTGAAGCTGACTATTGAATCAATATCAAAGAACTGTCTTTTAAATGAAGAGAAGGCTTTATTAAAGAAGATGCTTAACTGATGTTTTCCAGAGAGGTTTCTGTGTTAGTCTATTTCAACAAAAACAAACAAAACACAGTATTTTAAGGCATTTAAGATTAAAAGTTTCACTTCTATATGATAATTTTTAAAATTATAATCCACTTGACCAGGATAAAGTTTGCAAAGCAGGAGGGCTGAACAGAAGGGAAATCAAATCTGGTAACATCAATCTATAGTGAAGAAACCAACTGATCAGAAAGGGCAAGACCTAATATACAGAAGATAGTGCTTTTCAATTCTGCTTTGGCCCCTGTAAGCCCACCCTTGCTTTTACAGTTGTGACCAAACATTTCTTCACTTCCAGCAGAGAGAGCAGTGATGGTTTAAGGCAGTGGTCCCCAGCCTTGGGCCTCCAGATGTTCTTGGGATACAACTCCCAGAAGCCTTCACCACCACCTCTGCTGGCCAGGATTTCTGGGAGCTGAAGTCCAAGAACATCTGGAGGCCCAAGGTTGGGGACCACTGGTTTAAGAAGTAAAGAGAAAATAATGAACATGTATATGGATTACTGTGGTATGGCTTGGTCCAAACCAAATGATTGTGTCCACACATGTTTCTACTTTGAGCAATCCATCCTGCCATTTTAAGACCTGTCACACACCTTTCTTACACAGTGATAGGGCATGTTTTCCTTTTGATACAATTTAGTATGATCTTAATTGGCTTGTTCTTCAGCCTGTGCTGACAACTAGCTCACACCCAAATGGAACTGTGGGTGGTGTTATTTGAGGTAACAGTCCTATAATGTAACAGGTGGGTTGTGGCGTTAAAAGGGAAGGTGGAGAAACCCCTTCCTCTATTTTTCATTTCTCTTAAAAAATATTCCCCTAATTTACACAGCACAGTTCTAATACCATGCTAGGCTGATGCATTGCTTTTTTGATATGCCACTTACTTTATTCAACACACGCAAGGGAAAGCCACTGCAGCCAGCTGAATGACAGTAGTGAGAAAAGGCAGGGAAGGGGGCAATTTCAATTCCATTGGCTCCACTCCCCACAGGCAACACAGTCCCAGCTGAGGAGAAAGGCAGGAAAAGAGAGGAATTACTTCCCTCCTCTTTTCCCAACATTCACCTGAGCAGTTTCCCCCTCAGTGCCTCCTTAGTTGCAAGTAAACCATGTAGACTTGTTCCTAAGTAGACTTGTTCGGCAAGTCTTTGGACCAACAATCCAAAGACTTGTGTGAATACTTTCACAGGATTTCTCAAGTGACAGATTTCACTGAAGATAAACACCTTTTAAGGGCAGGTCAGACAGCTTCAAATTCCCCTGTCTGGATAGGCCCTCAATGAAGTTTGCTCATATTTGTAGTGGAATTCGTAGTGGAAGGTATTTGTAAATTGACCTGTGATCATACTCTGTAATTCGTTCACATTCCCTTCTTTCTACACAATGAGTAATATGGCAAATATTTACATTACCTTTTAATGTAATGAGTTACTTTCAACATTACTTTAAGAGACATGTCGACTTCCCCCCCACACACATTTTATGCCTTTCTTTATCAAAGGAGCACACTGTGTGAAAGGAGCACACAGTTCCATTTCTTGGTTTTATCTTCAGTGTTGTACAAATATTTGCAAGTTTCAGAGAGTATGCAGAGAGCCAGAGAGTATTTCCGTGTATATTCCCAGCTTGCTAGTAAGGGCAATGCATCTCATTAATTAATATGCAACACAATATGTTTCTTATGTGACTGGAGGAATAATAACAATAACATCAACCTGGTTGCTGAAATATAACACAAAATGTCTCTTTAAAAATGTTCCAAGCTCAGGATAGAATCCCTCCATATACCAGATAATGGGAGAGATGATGGGGAAGGTCCTACCATATTCCAATCTTAATGCCATTGAACTCAGAATGATGGAACTGCCAGAAACCAAAAAATAAAATAAAATAAAGTTTATTCTGATAGGGTGTTGGTGTGTAATGATTAATTTTATTGCCGCTAGTTTTGCCTGGCTTGTGTTTTCCTTCCTTTTGAACTATTCATTATAGTTAATTATTACTTTTTAGAACGTTTTTTCATAGTTGTGTTCTCATTGATTATACATGGTATGCAGCTGTTAACACTTCTCATAGAGGAACAGAATATAAAAGAATATCAAAGTCACACACTGCAGAAAGATACAAATTATTGCTTATGTTTCTTTAAATACAAATGAAACCCATTCCAGGAGCGCATGATAAGCTGAGGCTTTTCAAGGGGAAGATTAGCAGGATCTGGAGAGATGTGGAAACGCAACAGAGTCAGGGCAACAACCAGCTTCAGCTCCATCATGGCAAACTGTTGCCCAATGCAATTTCTGAGGAAGATAAAAATCTGCAATGAAACCTGAAATGATGCTCACAAGGTACATTTTGAGTTGATTTTTTAATCTGCAGTGACATTTCATTAACGTAGCTGAATGAAGATCTCTGTAGTTAAACTACTGCCTTTAATCCATGGATTCTCTGGATCTGTAAGCCATTGGGCAATGCTTTGCTAAAGCAGCATTTGCTTCACCAAATATATAGCTGGTTTCTAATGGATGAGGGGAGTTCTCATTGTGTCAGCATGAATAAGTCTTTTAGCCTTCATCAATAGTACACCCACACAGAACACACCCTCTTCCAAACCTTAACTCTGAAATGAAAGGACTTTGGTTGTTACTCTAAAAGAATACTCTAAACATTCCTTCCCTTGGCAGAAGGCTGCTCAAATCTCTTTCTCATAAATGCTCAATATCAAAGTACACAGAACAGAGGCAGTTGATAACACGGAGGTTAGATTTCACTCACGTATAGGGAGGCCAGAATTTCAGGGACTATGGCTTGAGAAATTCCCATTCAAGTCCCTCACAGCCATGGAAATTCACTGGGTGGTCTTGGGCCAGTCACTCTCTCCCTCAGTCTGACCTGCCTCACAGGGTTTTTGTGAAATTAAAATGGCTTCCCTAGAGCAGTGGTTTCCAACCCAGATGTTCTTGGACTGCAACTCACAGAAACAATGGCCAGCACAGCTGGGGGTGAGGCTTCTGGGAATTGCAGTCCAAGAACACCTGGGTTGCCCAAAGTTGGGAACTACTGACATAGAGGAGAGGCAGGGTATCAGTGTAATCAATAATAGAGAAATCAATCAAATTTTACTTTGTGTTCAATCTCTTTTGTATTTGTCTATTGTTTCCCTATTGTGGACTTACTTATGTAATCAGCTCTCTTACCTGGGTCCAGCAGCAAAAGGTAAATATGCATAGGGATGCCGAGAGGAATTCTCTGGTGAAAACCTGAAAGGATCAAACACCTGAAAGAGATGAAGTTTACTTTGCCACACACAGCACTGAAAGCTGATGAATCTCAGAAGCTTCCTTTAAAACTTGATGAAAACAACAAGATATTCATTCTTGGAACCAGTTCATTCATGCGTGGTCATCAAGTGATTATTGCAATATCAAGTGATAGCTTGCATGCCCAAACAAGCCTTTGCAATAGCATACCAAAAAGGACTTCAGACATCTTGCATGATCTTACGTACAGTGCTGTTCATGGAAATTAACCCCTGTATTCAACTGCAAGACATTATATGCAGAGAATCCTGTGTGAACAGGCTTTGCTCTTGGCAAAATGGATGTGTGTTCCCATGCCAGTATTCTGTAGTAACAAAAGTGTACATATGTCTCTCTATATAGAGAGTCCCATCCTCCACTGGTCTCTCTAATCTCTTTGAGCTTAACTACAATCCTTCGAGTAGCTGGAGGAGAAACTGTTTTTTCCCAGGTACAGTATATTGTTTGATGTTATCTCTGTTGTAGTGCAAAGTATTTGAGGGTAGTTTCGACTCAACTACATGATTAGTTTTACAAAAGACCTACACCCTACTTATTGGATTACACCAGTGGTTCTTAACCTTGGGTTACTCAGGTATTTTTGAACTGGAACTCCCAGAAACCCCAGCCAGCACAGCTGGTGGTGAAAGCTTCTGGGAGTTGCAGTCCAAAAACACCTGAGTAACCCAAGGTTAAGAACCACTGGATTAGACCAATCTACCCTGGCTGCCCCCTTCATGGTTTGCTGCCTTGTCGTGGCAAAGGGGCTTGACTAATTCAGAGAAGCTATAGGCTATGCCATGCAGGGAACCCCAAGACGGGCAGATCATAGCGGAGAGTTCTGACTAAACATGATCCACCTGGAGGAGGAACTGGCAAGCCACTCCGGTATCTTTGCCAAGAAAACTCAATGAACAGAAACAAAAGGCTAAAAGATACGACACTGGAAGATGAGCCCCTCAAGTCAGAAGGCGTCCAACATGCTACTGAGGAAGAGCGGAGGACAAGTACAAGTAGCTCCAGAGCTAATGAAGTGGTTGGGCCAAAGCTGAAAGGACACTCAGCTGCGGACGTGTGTGAAAGTGAAAGGAAAGTCCGTTGCTCCAAGGAAAAATGCTGCATAGGACTCTGGAATGTAAGATCTATCAACCTTGGTAATCTCAATGTGGTCAAACAGGAGATGGTAAGAATCAACATTGACATCCTGGGTGTCTGTGAATTAAAATGGACAAGAATGGGAGAACTCAATTCAGACTATTACCATATCTACTATTGTGGGCAAGAATTCCCTAGAAGAAATGGAGTAGCCCTCATAGACAACAAAAGAATGGGAAAAGCTGTACTGGGATACAATCTCAAAAATGATAGAATGATTTCAATACAAATCCAAGGCAGACCTTTCAACATCACAGTAATCCAAGTTTATGCACCAACCACCAATGCTGATGAGGCTGAAACTGACCAATTCTGTGAAGACTTACAACACCTTCGAGAACTGACACCAAAGAAATATGTTCTTCTCATTATAGGGGACTGGAATGCTAAAGCAGGGAGTCAAGAGATAAAAGGAACAACAAGAAAGTTTGGCCTTGGAGTTCAAAATGAAGCAGGGCAAAAGCTAAGAGATTTTGTCAAGAAAACAAGCTAGTCATCACAAACACTCTTTTCCAACAACACAAGAGGCAAGTCTAAACATGGACATCACCAGATGGGCAACGCTGAAATCAGATTGATTATGCTCTCTGCAGCCAAAGATGGAAAAGCTCTATATAGTCAGCAAAAACAAGACCTGGAGCTGATTGCGGCTCTGATCATCAGCTTCCTAAAGCAAAATTCAAGCTTGAACTGAAGAAAGTAGGAGAAACCACTGGGCTAGTCAGATATAATCTAAACCAAATCCCTTATGAATACACAGTGGAAGTGAAGAGCAGATTTAAGGAACTCGATTTGGTGGACAGAGTGCCTGAAGAACTCTGGATGGAGGTTCGTAACACTGTAGAGGAGGTAGCAACAAAAACCATCCTAAAGGAAAGGAAATGCAAGAAAGCAAAGTGGCTGTCCAACCAGGCCTTACAAATAGCAGAGAAGGGAAACAAAATGCAAGGGAGATAAGGAAAGTTTCAGTGAACTTTCCTGTCACAGTACAATGTAGCAGTTAGTCTTTAAGGTGACTTTTCAAGTCTGAGGGAGTGGTTTTGCTCACAAAAGATCACATTAGTCTTTAAGAAGCACATCTTTGTCCTCTTTATTTTTTATTTATTTTGGTTTGAGCCCTGGTATTCTTAAATCGAGTAAGTACGCGCTATACTCTTTGAGTTCCTGGACCCTGATTTGAAAACCACTCAGCTTGTAGGTATCCTCCTGTAAAAACTCTTAGATATCATATCAAAATTTGTCTCATAAGTATGCAGACAGCTGCCATGGATCCTTCCATTTATTCACTGTACAAGATATAGAAATAGAGATGGGCACAAACCAGAAAAAACTGACAAAGCAGACTGGTTCACAGTTCGGTTTGTGCCCCCTTTTAGGGATCCTGTTTTGCCAAAGCTAAACAAAGGAGCAAACTCCCCCCCCCTGCAGCACTTCCTTTTGATTTGTCAAAATGGAATACCTGCTCACTATCTTCCCGCTGCCCCATGGCCTCCATGACTGGTCCTGCTGTTGCCGCCATCCTCAGAGGCAGTGGGGCCAGCTTCCCTGCCAGGAGCCAGGCCCACTGCCTCTGAGCATGAGCTTGCCAATCAGCTTTCTTTCCTTCACGAAGCTACACAATATTATTTTCTCTGGGCATGCATCTATGCTACATCTAGCCAGTACTGTACTGTATTATCTATGTATTGCTCCAAGGGGCCCCATGGGTATGGGGTGCATGGTAGTTTAGATTGAACAGTAAGTATTTTGAATTTTTGTATTTGGTTTTGTTCTGAAAAAATGAAAAAAAATTAAAATCTGGTTTTAAAGGAATACGATACCAGAGGCCACAGTTTGAAGCATTTGAATTCCTCTCATAGTCTCCACAACACAGGTAAATAATCCCCCTATAGCAGCGATGGTGAACCTATGGCACGTGTGCCACGGCTGGCACGCAGAGCCCTTTCTGCCGGCACGTGAGCCATAAGTCACCAGATCGCTACTCCGCCCCCCCCCCCACACAGCCAAACCTGAGAAGGCAGCTGCAGCCACGGTGCTGGTGCTTCAGTAGGCCGATCCAGAGCAGCTGGTGCTGGCAGTGGATCCGAAGTGGTGTCTCGAGGCACCTCCGTGCCCGGGATTCCCCCTTCCATCGCCACTTCTGGATCCACCGCTGCCACTTCTGGTTCCACTGCACCCTGGTTTTGTTTTTTTCCCTGTCCCCGTTTGGGCACACGAGCCCAAAAAGGCTCGCCACCACTGCCCTATAGCGAACTTATCTCATTTTGCATAAAACAATGTTCCACAGAGTAAGCTCATATGCAACATGACTATGATAAACCCAGAGATCTCACAACATCAGAGAAGAAAATACCTCAGGATCTTTCCACACGTTAGAATTTTTATGAAGTGCATAAATATTCAGGGATATTAAACCACCTGTCAAGAAGCAGAAGGGAGAGATTTCATTACTAAGTAAAAACATCCAAAAAGGTAAGTTTCCAGTGCTATATTAAAAATCATATGAAACTGCTGTTGTTGGAGTGCCACAATGCACTTTGTGACTTTTTTAAAAAGTACATTGTCATACATTATTGTGGGACACATTAGCTAATTACATTAGATTTGTATTTGATTTCATGAAGATGGTGGTGAACCTTGGGTGATAAATACTGAATCGGTCTGTTCATCCATCTAGTTTGAGATTGGCCCAATCCTGTGGCGTAAATACATCTGCAAAAGGCTAATGATAAATGTTCCAGCAGGGGGAGATTTGGCAGTTAAAGTATTCCTCTTTCTGTCCTGAGGCTCCCACAACTCCCATACAAAAGCTGAAATCCAACTGCAACTAAAGTAAGCCCATCGAATTGGTGGGGATTTGGTGAATCAGGTCCATAAATTCCACTGATGGGCCTCCCCTAACTGCTACTTACTAATATATTTCAGTCACTGAGGCTGATTGCACATGAGTCAGATAAGCTGCAGGACATAGATAGGATATATTTAATTAATAAAAATATCTGCTTACTAGTGACAGAATCTCCCTTCCGTAGGTGTAACATGTCATGTTTACTCTATCTGATAGCACCTTGACAGAGTCTTTCCCTGCTGTATCTGAGATCAAATTGGGTTCATTTATATGGAAAGTAGAAGCTCATGCACTGTCATGCACTCCCAACATATTGAGTTATATACAGTGACAAAGTAGAAAGAACTATTTCTATTTCAAATAGGGACAGTATTCCATGAGTTAAAACCGAACATGGGCAGCATATTACTTTTCCAATATCTTTCTAAACTATACAAGTTTCTCACACCAAAGATCAATAGACTATTATGCACTATAAGTGTACCAAGTATGTCAACTTATCATTCCACTGTGCCAAATTATTGTTAAAAAAATTTTGTTCAGAATAACACTGCCATTCTTTGAGTTTTCATCTGTTAGCCATGAATCTAAAAGACATTGAAATATAGTCAACTACAATACATCAGACCTTTAGGAAATGTTTTTCCATCAGGAAATGTCACAGGCTTGCTCAGCTCTCGATACACCTGAGGGACCGGAGGATAAACACGGAGACATTCCTTAATGCACATTGTGGTGTAAGTCATCTTTCCAAGGTCATTCCTGAGAACAGAAGGAAAGTCAAAAACCAAGGCATGTAAGTTGAGCAAGTGACATTAAGACAGGAAATACTCTGAACTAAATCAGATTCATAAAGTCCAAGAATGGCAATAAAAGTAATTTCACATTCTCTATATGTATTCTGACTAACATAACTGAAGAGGAGTCACACATTGGGAGGGACATAGAAGTTCCATAGGTGTAGGGATTGGGGATTTTTAGTTTCTGAAAAACCATAGTGGCTGATGACATCATCAGCTTTACAAGGCATAAATTAAAGCAACAGGATTTTGGCCACTGTGAGTTTTAAAATGCAGAAACACAAGACACTTGTGCTAAACTAGTTAGCATTGCTTGTACCACCTGGAGCAGATGTAATCCTACATCCCATCTTACCTCTCTAATGGCTGAACAAATGTTAGCACCCCAAATTTTTCTACACAGTCTTTAGATTGAAGATCTGAAAGTGCAGACAGTAATTTATTTGGAATCTACTAGTGCTAGGAAGGAAGAAGAAATACTGAAGAAAGGACATTCTCACCAGTTTATGGTGTCTCGTTCCCCGACAATTTCTTTTATCTCCTCCCTACACCTTTCCTGGTGCTCAGGGTTTTGGGCCATTGCATGTAAGATCCAGGAAATCCCACTAGCTGTGGTGTCATGGCCCTCAAAGAGAAAAGTGTCCACTTCACAACGTATGTCTTCATCAGCTAATCCAACACCATTTTCATCCTGACAAACAGAAAATGATTATGATCAAAAGTGACTGAAGACTTCATTTGTCTCTGTCCATTTAGGACTTCTCTCACAGGAAACAGACCCTCTGGTTAGACTGATTTCCTTATAGGTAGACATATAATAAGACAATTCAATTTTTGTTCCATGGTTTTGTTCTGGCATCTCCAGAATTATTGGACTTTGTGCCCTACTATACCCTACCAGCACAACCTCCTTTATTTTGTTAATGAGAGGAGGAATCCAACACATCTGGAACACACCATGTTGCGAATGGCTCGAACAGAATTAAGCTAAAACAGTTAGAAAAAAGGCTCGAACAGAATTAAGCTAAAACAGGAAGAAAGAAGAAGAAGAAGAAGAAGAAGAAGAAGAAGAAGAAGAAGAAGAAGAAGAAGAAGAAGAAGAAGAAGAAGAAGAAGATTATTGGTTGCATGAACACATCATTTTCTTAGAATTAAGTCAGATGGATTCTACTTACCTTGGCACAAAGAAGAATATCCAGAAAATCGATATACCTTCTTTTTTTAATATTTTCAAGTTCTCTTTCATCTTTGAGGAGTGCCTTCCTCTGCTGAATCACTTTTTCTATGTGAAAAGGGGGATATGCACGATGATCTTCCCAAACAAGTCTCACAGCATTGCTGCTTCATATGAAAAGCTAGCTAATATTTCAATGATATTTTTCAAAGTGCAAAATTTTTAAGGAAGCCTTTCTTCCCAGGCTAGGTTCTCCAGGCTTCATTTGGTCCTTATATGCTATTCAACAAGCATCCCCACACCTCTGTGGTTTGCTAAGTTTTCAAACAAGGCAATTCAATTTTGCATGTGAAATTTTGAATTTGAAATGTAAAATAGTGGAAATTCATATGCTTTTAGCATGTTTTATTTTCGCTTATTTTGATTTTGGCAGAAATTAGGTAGTATGTTTCATCTACTGTTAATTTTTTTTTTTTTTTAAATCTCAATATTAACATTTTAAAAACCAATTCATTCTATGTATCAATTTAAAGATCTCTTGGGTGATGTTGAATTGCTTAGGAACGTTTTCTAAGGATGGTCCCAAATTCCTGTGAGGCCTCTCAAGAGCTGGACAAAATAATTCAGTTGTCAGAGTCCACCAAAGAAAGCAAAGAGGAAGAGGAAAGATGGGGGAGGAAATACCTTTAAATGGTATGGTAAATGTATTTTTATAAAATATTGAACAAAAAGTCCTAACATAATGTCATGCCCAACAAGACAACACTTTCCCAAAACTTTCTATATAACTTGCACTTTACTGCAAACACATTCATAGTTGGAAGACAGTTTTGAAGTACTTTCTCTTTTCTTTTCCATTGTGTTGGGAGGTGTCCCCTCTTTTGCTTTGTTTACATCTGGGTACATATTAAAACAAGCTGGGTACTTGCCCTTCATTATTTATAGTGTTCCAGGACAATTATAACGCCAAGTTGTAGTGTTTATAAAATGGGCAAGAGCCTCCTGCATTGACACTACTGCTCTTCTGCAGCATTTGCTGATCTCAGAAATCTTCCCTCTCAGTAGTTCAGAAGCTCTGCACTATGCTAGGACAAATATTTGCTGAGAGAGAGAGAGAGCAGGGAGCAGAGAAGGGGCAAAGGATACAGCTAAATGGTTACATTGAATCTTGCTGGATGGGGCTAGATGGGATCCCTTGAGGACAACTAGAGGTCATAAAATCATATGATTCTATGCAGCATGCCATTTGGGACAATTTTTGCTTCCACATGTAAGGATCGGGTGGTTTCAGGGCAGGAAACCACACTACACCTCAAACAACCTTATTTAGCCCATTCTTCCCTTTAATAAAGGGAAAGAAAAGAAGAAGAAAAATAACAGCATGAAGAAAACATTTGCTTTGCTTTTTGCCTACTGTCTCCCCCTCTATGAGGCAGGTGCAGTAAGCTTTCAATAAAAAATTTTTTCAAGTGATGTGGTGCTGAATTGGCTTGCTGAATAACCAGTTTGGTGTTGGATTCAAAGGGCTTTTTTTAAAAAAATTGCATCCCCTTCTGTTTCCCCCATGAGGGATAGAGAAAGAAACTTTCAATTTATTGATAAGTACAGTAGTTTGAACCTGCAATGTGGGTTTAAGGAGTTGTTGGTTCTCACTCTTCCCAATGAAGTAGGTAATCAATCCACTTCAGTTCAGTCACAGCGATCACATATGCCAGAGCTGAACCAAAGTGGAGTGATCATACACATACGCATAGATACACGGTCCCTGACAGGGACCCCCAAAAAATGCAGGCAGGCAAAAATAAGAGACAGGCTGGTTGACAATTGCCCATGTCATGTGTTTGCCAGGAAAAGGAGCGAACCAGCTCATCCCCAAACTGGACCAAACCATAGGGCAAATGCACTTTTGATCACAACCAAAGTGAAGGTGAAGCCAGGTTACACTCAGTCCAAACCTCCTTCAGCCCAGGGGTGCAACTACTATGCCAGCACAATGTTAGGGGGAACTGAAAACATTCACCAGAACAAATCATTAGAAAGAGCATGTTTTAAAATGTAGCCTAGCAGTTTCCACAATCCCTAGGCTTTGGGGTGGGGTGGCAGCTTTGGATTCAACCAAGAATAACTAATAGCCTGTCTCAAGGGGAGGGGGGAACTTTGAGCTGAGGTCACCCCTGGCCCCATTCTGGTACACACCACTTCTGAATTTAGCACAAGTTTGACTGGCCAAGTGTCAGCTCAGTTGGGCCTCAGCCATCTTGGTTTGCTTGAATTCTGCCCTCTTTCTTCCTCAGGGTACTAGCTCTGTGAGGAAAGGGTAACAACAACAATGTCGATTCAAGTCAATTCAGACTTATGGTAATCCTTTTTGAGGGCTTTCCAAATACAGAATATCAGAAGTGGTTTACCATTCCCTTCTTCTAGGACTGTGCCATTTGTTCAAGGCCACACAGGCTAGCTCTTCTCACTGACGCACAGTGGGGAATTAAACTCTCAAGCTCTGGCTGCACAGTCAGATACCTAAACCACTGAACTATCAAGTCAAAATGATAGATAATAGGGAAATGGAATACCTGTGTGGCGCTTAGCTAGTTTACAAGCACGAAAGAAATTGTATCCATGAGGAGAGAGGTGATAGATAAGGTCATTGTGATAGAGAACTTTCTGTATTCTTTCTTGCATCAAGCAACTGAGGACAGTAACCATTTGAACATATGGATTCTTACTGGAAAGGAATGAAATAGAAAATTTAAATGATTATTTTTTTTCAAAAGTACAATATAAGGCAATGTAATTATTTACATTGTGCTTTCTTGCCTGTCCTGTCAAGAAGTTCAGGGTGGAGTACACATGGCTTCCTCCTTCATTTTATGGCCATGTGAAACATTGTGTTATGTAAAAATGCTATAAAATTGTTGTGAAAATTAGAGGCAATGTCACCCAGCTGTTGGGGCATGTGAATATCTGAACATGGCTAGGAAATATCACACAGGACTTTCATCTGTTTGGTTCCTGAAGGCCAAGATATATATTATACATAAGTTGTCATTATAACTGAAATCATGTTATTGTACACTGTACAGGAAAGATGACTGAGACCATCTTTCCTACCTGAGAAATCAGGTTCACTAGAGAAACATTATGATCCTGTGACAATCATATACACTAAAAGAATTGCATCTTTGAGTGATAGGGTATCTGTAACATGCAGTTGGGTGTCGATGGTCCTCATTGCTGTGGGTCCTGATGATGGCTATTTTAATTGTATTTTAATCATTTTATTTTTATTGTATTGAATTTTAATTATTGTAAGCCACCCAGAGACCTATGGGTAGAGTGGGAGGCATATAAATTCAATAAATAAATAAATAAATTGCATCCCAGCTGGTACTAGAACTGTTCCCTGCCACCCTTTCTTGAGCAGTTTTGCTTCATTCTCTCAAGGTTCATAAGACTTTTCTTAAAAGTGATGACCTGTCATTCTGGCAGTTGCTCTCATAACTGAAGATACACTTCAACAAACTATCCAGTGTCATGGGGCCAACATGCTGGAAAATATCCAGGGATTTATCTTCTGAAATCTGCTTTTCCCATTTATCCTGAGGAAAGTGAGGAAACACATTTTACATATTAAAATAGCATTTACCCATTGCTTAAATTCATGGCTTGCATATTTTAGCCAGTTAGTCATATTGCTGCAGTTTCCATTTTGCTGTACGTACTCAATAGTAGTAGCAGAGGTAGTAGAAATAGTAGCTGTCATTATTCTTCCAATGTCTGGGGTCATTAAAAAATGGCTGGAGTGATTACTCTTACCACCCTTACTACTGCAAGATCCCAGATTGTTTTACAATGCAGGCAGAGAGCCATTTCCTTCTTGGTCTAGGACACTTTGTTGATGCTTCCTCAATGAGAGCTAATGGTCAGGATTTTTATAACCTCTGAACATACAGTACTTGAATGAAATACCTTTCAGAAAACATGAAAGGTGAGGCTTGCCTGCTAGCTAAAGGAAGGGGAGGGGAGGAAAAGTGAGGAGTGGGTGTGGTTGTAAAGTCAAGGCTAAGAAAAGTAAGACATGGAAAGCAAGTGGGCTGTAATAAAGCCTGTCAACTTGAATGGCCTTAATGGAGGACTAGACAAAATCATGATTAGGACCATTAGTGCCCATTATTGAGGATGAGCATATATCACCTCCAGTATGAGAGGCAATGTGCTTCTTTATGTCTGTTGCTAGGAAACATGGCATGGGATAATGGGGCAACTGCACTCACTCATGTCTTGTTTAGCAAGCAAAGCAATATGAAGTCTGTGGTGGAGACCCTTTATTTCCTCACCAGGAAAGTATAGGGTAAATTCCAGAAAGGCTAAGAAAGCTGCAGGATATGCCAGTGTTCATGCGATTAGTAAGTTTGCTAGGCTTCTTTTTCTGGCAGTGTCACGAAAGAGAATCAATAAATCTTGATGTAAATAGCAGGTACATTTGTTTTTCAGACAGACAGACAGAAAAAATAGAAAGAAAGGAAAAAAAGGACAGAAACATTTTCTGGAAAATGGAGTCATTTTGGGCAGGCGTAGTTAAAATGCTGAGGTGAAAAAAGGGGGCTGTTTGTCACTGGACTCTTCAGGAAGGCCTGTGTGGAAGATTTTGAAAAGAAATTGCACCATGCCTTTAACAACCTTCAGACAGGCAGAAATCCAGTGAGTGAAATTTTCCTGTTCTGATAGGAATGCATAAACATTTGTATTGATTAATTCTTCAGCTATCAAAGCTGCAAAGGCCTTAACAGGAAATGGGAAAAGGCCAAAGAGCTTTCACCACAGTGCAGGGTGAATCTACAGTGGTGCCTCGCTAGACGATGATAATCCATTCCATTGAAATCGCTGTTTAGCGAAATCATTGTCTAGAGAAAAGCATTTCCCCATTTGAATGCATTGAAACCTGTTTAATGCATTCCAATGGGGAAGAATTGTCGTTGTCTAGCGAGAATCGGCCATAGGAAAGCCGCTTTGCAAACCACCAATCAGCTGTCTTTCGAAGCTTAGGTCCCAAAAACACCTGTTTTGCGAGCGCAGAGGGAGCTGTCAAAAGGCATGTAGCAAAAATCGGTTTGTGTAGCAGGGACCAAACATTGTCCAGCGAAATTCCCCCGTAGGAATCACTGTTTTGCGAATTGCTATAGCGATCACAAAAAGTCAATGTCCAGTGAAAAAACTGTCATGCGGGGTAAGTGTCTAGCGTGGCACCACTGTACTTGCTTCAGACAATACTCGGACTGGGTGGATAGAGGGCAGCGGGAGCTGGTGCTGGAGTGATGCAGCCGGACGTTTTGAAGTTCAGGGCCCTCAGTGTGATGTTAAACATCATTTGGCAGTGTGCATTCCCACAGTATAACATGCTGGGTCAGCTGTAGGAGTATGTTATAACAGTATAGAATTCTTTTCAGAAAGAAATAGTCATCAGAACATGAGAAAAGCTCTGCTAATTGTTCAAATGAACCTTTCAATTTGGTATTATGTTTCCTTTCAAAACCAAATAAAATAGAGGTGGTGAGTTTAATTTCCTATTTAGAAAACTGAACAAAACTAAAAAAAAGCTGACATGGCTGAACACACGCCTGTACTGATGGATGCTTCCTGGCATCACACATTTTCCCTGTCCAGTTGCTTCCAGTACAGAACTTTGGAGGATATATTTATCCGTTTGTTACATTTCTAGGTTGCCCTTTTTTCAGGCAAGGGGACTCAAGGCAGCACACAATGAGTAAAACACATTAGGCTGAAACCAAAATAAATTAGAGTTTAAAACAATTAAACATATAGTAATTGAAAAGACTGTCTGAACATTTAAAAACATTTGAAACACATTTAAGAAGAACAATTTATTTGTCATATTTAGAAGCTAAGCGTGAGTGTTAGCTGATGTTCAATCAGAAACAAAGGAACTCAAAATTAGTTTAATTAGTTTATTTACCAGCATCACATTGGTGGAATCAGCAATCAGTGGCACATATGACTTCAAAATATCACTGTGGAATGCTGGTGTCAAAAGTCGTCGGTGCTGAAACCATTTGGGCCCATCTAAAACCAGTAGCCCTTTTCCTAGTAATTCAAGAAAAATTAGTCAGTCCCTTTTCTGTTATTAACGTCTGTGGAGCACTTATGTACACTTACATTTAAAGCCACTTGAACCGAAGTTTTAAAATTCCATGGACCCCACCATACTGTGGAATCACTGTTTCCTCATTTTATAATAAATGACAAGTTCCATTAATGCCATTCATTCCTGTCACCACTTGTATTACAAAATTATTTTAATAGTGGCCATTTCTGGGCTATATCAGGAAGGATGCGTGTCAGTACTGTTAGGGGCATAATACTGCATTTTAAAAATGACTCGAAACAATAAATTTAAAAAGAACTAATTGCCTTACTCATCACTTCTTATCACCCTTTATTGTTATTCTTCTTCTGATCCTGCCTATAACTCATCACCTTGTGCTTTAGCACTATGCATTACTAGCCAGGCACAGAAATACAGGGATGCTGTATGCATTGAAAGGTTCCAAAGATTATCAGCTGATGTTTTTGTTATGTACAGTTGAGTTACAACAGTGTGATCAAAGGTCAGTTCCTAGCTGGGTAAATGTATTTGATTAATTTAACTGTGAGTAGCAGTGTAGCATTTTGTTATTGTTATAACTTACTATATTCTTTAGACTTTTGTGTTCCATTTTTAAGATACAGTCTCATACAATGCCATGAGCAGAGTTACTGTTCCCTTCTTTCTCAGAATTAAAACAAACACAGCACATGAGAAAATGTCCATGTCCATGTCTGTTCAGGTACGGCTTTCCCATACATGGGACCAAGATCATTTATATAAAAACAGTAACAAAACACAATAGAACTCACCAATCCATGGAAGAAAAAATCGGTAGAAATCAAGAGCCTTTGGATCTGCAACATCCAAAATAAATGAAAATAGGTTTTTAATACTGCACATTTAGCATGTGTTTGTGTGTGTGTGTGTGTGTGTGTGCGCGCGCACGCGCATGCATGCACGCTCAAATGCACACACAATTTCACAGGCTAAATCCAACTGTTAGCTCAACTGTAATAGACGGCTAAATATATAAGACTTGTTAAGTCAACATTTCTCCAAGAGCTGTTGAATTCATGCTTCTACTCTTTTGAGTAAGTTGGGACTAACAAATTGGAACTAAAATGTGGAATTAGTCTTGTGTCTATTGTGTGAGGCTTGTTTCCCTCTTCAAAGGTAGTATAAATTGAAAAATACAACAATAGTACCACTCGGAAATAAGCCTGTTGTGCTTAACAGCACTTATTCCTGGAAAAGGAAGTTTAAAATTGCAACCCTGAGCACACAGGACATATAGACAAAGAGTAGAAAGCTGTTGCTAACATTTCATTAAAGCAGACCTTTTTATTTTATTTTTATTTTATTTACCTCCTCTGCTGTAAACAGCCTTGGCATACTCTGGATCATAAATATTCAGAAATCCCAAGAAAGCTCCATACCACAAGGAGTGAGCATGGGGATATTTCTCCGCCCAGGACACCATTGTGCCTAGTTCTCCAATTCGACCCAGCTGTAATAAAACAAATCTTATTACATTCCTTCTAGATGTGGACTTTCAGTGCCAAGCCCATCTGACAACCTCAGGTCATGCTGATAATAGACACTACAAAGGAAAAAATGGTATCAGAAGCTATAATAAACTAGACCTGTGATCAAGAAAAATATCACAACATAGCAAACAAGCTTCTGAGTTCTCTGGAACCATTTACCAGGCACGGAGGCCTTCTAAGCTGCTTCTAGGCTAAGGGCTTCTATGGCTCACAATTAAATATAATCTGTTTTCCTACCTCATTGGTGTGGCCATAAAACCAGTGCTTTGGAGGACATGGGAAGCTCTCTAGAGCTCTACGTAGCTTCTGTCTCCTTTGAAAAAGCTGGACAATTTTCAGGAGTCCGATGGCCACACAGAAGGAAATGGCAGCAAAAAAAATCAGGTGAAAGTTGGTACTCCCCAATCCAGGCAAGACAAGGTACATTTTGCTGAGCACTGGTATGGCTTCTCCAGCAACAGCGTTTGTTTTTCTGCTTAAATATGGTTCTAGGTGAGATGCAATCCTGTTAAAGTATGTTAAATAAAACCGATTGGTGGTGATACCACGGGTATCATATTTCAGCAGCCTGGAATTCTTGCCACACTCATTTCAGGGTAAACAAACAAATGGGAAAAAAACTAAAAGCTCGCTGTTCCTTTAGTGCATTTCAGGCAGAAGCTTGAGTTAACTGGCAAGTTTTTGCCTGCCCAGCCCAGAATAATGACATGAGACACAAAAAAGAGGATTAAACTAGGGCCAAAAGTTTATTAATTTATTAATGCTTTAGTTTCCCCTATTTTAAGAGGGCCTGCCGTAGTGCAAAACAGGTCAGAGACCATTGTCAGTCTTATTTGACCGGTCTAGACCTTCCCCCAGCAGAATCCTGCACAGAAAGGAGGCACTGTTCTCCACCCCAGCACCCTCTTGGCCATACGCACCAGAGGCCAGCCTAAAGCCTAGCCTCAGGACCCCAGGTGAACTGCACCCCCTGGGGTACTCTGTTTTCCCCTTCCCTCAGCAGAACCTCTCTTGCCGCAATTCTGAGAGGAGGGGTCTCTAGCCCCCGGTGGGGGTATTCCCTGTAAATTCCCTGCTCCTATCCTGCTTTACACTACCCACCATTGCAACCTATTTAACAGTGGCATTCTATTATTAAATGACCCAAAATGCCCAGTGTAACTAAGAATGGGATGGGTGAAAAAAACACCTGCACCCAAAGGCCAATGTAGGTGCAGATCAAAAATTCCCATCCAGCCGCAAAGCGACCAGTTAGTCTCATTCTTACTACATGGGTGGGCAGGTGGGAAGCAGCTGAAGGCAGGGAAGGAGGACTGCGCAGGCAAAGGCAGCCTTCTTAAAGGCTTGCCCTTAGCCCTGCCTGCTCTCCTCCCAGGATTCTCTGCTGCATCTCTCTGGACGGATGGGCAAGGAAGCCCCATCCTGGAGGCTGTGCGACGTCCGGAGGGACCTTTTGTGTGCATAGGGTGGCTGAGGCAGTCTTTTGGGCTAATGGAATTGCAAAGTTATAGGTAAAGGCAAAATAGAAATAAAAAATTTAGTGGCACTTTAAAGTAATTTTATACATTTTTTTAATGTGAGCTTTCATGGGTAAGTCCACTTCATCAGACATAAGATACTGCAGATGTAATGGGCAGTGCTTGTGACACCACATAAGCAGAGCTGTGCCACTTTGTTACAAGAATGTTGTGGTTTTTGTCATTTGAGTTAGAAGCAAGAGGGGTTGTGTAGGATGAGCCTTGGATGGATGGATGGATGGATGGATGGATGGATGGATGGATGGATGGATGGATGGATGGATGGATGGATGGATGGATGGATGGACCTGACGAAAAGTTTCACAATCTGAGAATGGGAATACATGATAACATCCACGTCATGCTTGATCCCCTCCCCTACCAAAGAGCATCATACAACCAATTCTTGCAAATCATTTGGAAAGCCAAGATGCCTCTGTTCTGTGCTGTCTCTAACATTATAACCCAAGTACAATTGGGGTTGTGACTGGTGGCCTTTTACCCAACAGTAAACACTGTGAAAACAGTAGCAGTTGTTTTCCTGTTATGGCTAGGCAGTCAAGGGTGAGCAGAGGCAGGGGAGACAGACATAGTTGGGTGAAAGTGAATATCCATACAGAGAGAAAGAGAGATCCATTCTGACTCATACAGACCCATTGGTCAGAACTAGACACTCTGGGAAAACTGGATGGCATCTGCAGCAACTCCTGGAGCTGCACAGAATGCCATGTCCACGGTTTAAACATGATGCCCAAACCACACTTCTCTGCTCCAGCTTTTACATATACCTTTCAACATGTTTGAAGAAAGGACTCCAAAGTAGGGTGGTATGGGGTGGAAGGTGTGAAACAGAGAGGTGATGGCAGTAAAGGGAGCAGGCTGGTTCCAGCAGGCACAAAAACTGGCACAGAATGGAATGGCTTATATTAAAAACAGGGTGTGTGTTGCATGCAGGTTTGTGCCTGCTTGCATGTAATCCACAGTATGTACCTTTGCTTTGGATTATTACCAAGGCATAGTTCCGCCTATTGACACACAGAGAAGTGGGCAGACAAAGACTCAGGTACTCCCTCATTCCATACCATGCATTTGTTCAACAACCATGGCACAAAATTGGAAATATGTATGCTTGTTGCTGCTCCCCTCTGTGCCTGGTTTCAGAGCCACATGGTTGGCTTAGTCATGCGCAGTCACTCTCACAACCCTACACCCTTACACACATTCATGCACAAAGAATATGAGGCTTCCTTAATAAAGCAGGTTTCAGTGCTCCTTGCTGCACCTAATTGGATCATTAAGAGAAGTGTTCACTCCTCTGTCAAGAAAGAAAAAAGGGAGAGGGGGAAAAACTCTGGAAAAGGAATAGAGCCTTATAGACTTATATAAACATTTGCACAACATTTTAAGTTCACTTCAGAAAGAGTCCAGTGGAAGATTATGAGCCAAAAGTTTGAAATACTTCTGATAAAACCCACTTCTTACATTTCTAACATACCTTGAAAATCCTTTGAAGAACAAATAAAGTGGATGTGACTTAACAACACATCACACACATAAACCATCCTACATATGTTTTCCTCTCATTGAACATCAAGAAGTGGGACTTACTTCTAATAGGCATAAGATAGTTTTAAAAAGAGAGAGATTTTCTTAAAAATATATCTATGATTCAAAAAGCCAGGAAACGGCCCAATATTGCTACAAAATACTGCACCTGCACTGCCAGTAGGACAAAGGAAGCCAAGCTTTATATAGCAAAGGGCAGCCTGAATGTTGACAACACCAATGGCAGCTGTCAAGATGGTCTACAGGACACCCTCTTCTGCTCACTATCATTCACATGTGTTGAAAAACAGGCCTAACAATTGATTTGTGTTTGGGTAAGAAGTGGTTAACTAATGAAAAAAGGAGTCAGCTTCTGACATTTTATCTTGTGTAGTATCACCTATTATGCTTTCTATTTCATATTGATTTTTATTTCTCTCCCTCTATTTGTGGAGTGTGTATGTTTTGTTTGTTTGTTTTTTAGTCTTCTCTTCTCAGGAGATGGCCAAAGTATTGGAACCCCAGCTTCAGGATCTGTTCTTCCAGTGAGCACTCAGGGTTGATTTCCTTCAAAATTGATAGGTTTGATCTCCTTGCTGTCCAGGGGACTCTCAAGAGTCTCCTCCAGCACAATTCAAAAGCATCAATTCTTCGGCGGTCAGCCTTATTTATGGTCCAGCTCTCACTTCCATACATCGCTACTGGAAAAGCAATAGCGTTGACTCTGCAGACCTTTGTCGGCAAGGTAATGTCTCTGTTTTTTAAGATGCTGTCTAGCTTTGTCATCGCTTTCTGCCCAAGATGGAGGCATCTTTTAATTTCGAGGCTGCTGTCACCATCTGCAATGATCATGGAGCCCAAGAAAGTAAAATCTGTCACTGCCTCCATATCTTCCACTTCTATTTGCCTAGAGGTGACCAGTGGCCATGGTCTTTGTTTTTTTGCTGTTGAGCTTCAGACAATTTTTTGCGCTCTCCTCTTTCACCCTTTAATTCCTCCTCACTTTCTGCCATCAGAGTAGTATCATCTGCATATCAGAGGTTGTTGATATTTCTTCTGGCAACCTTAATTCTGGCTTGGGATTCCTCCAGTCCTGCCTTTCGCATGATGTATTCTGCATATAAGTTAAATAAGCAGGGAGACAATATACAGCCTTGTCGTACTCCTTTCCCAATTTTGAACCAATCAGTTGTTCCATATCCAGTTCTAACTGTTGCTT